GTCCAAAATGGATCTTACGGAATTAACACAGTTGTCAACACAGCTGCATTCGTATGGGGGCTGTAGGGGAGAATCCGTGTTTTTTTTTTTTGGTTTTTTTTTCACTTTTTTTCAAGTTTCCCAAGCTTTATTTATTGCCAAAAGATGGGGCAACCCTCACCTGTGGCCAAGTCACCCTGCTCTACCTCTGCCTCGGAGTTTCGCACCATCCAGTGTACTATCTGGTGATGTACCATCCAGTGGTGGAGTTCTTTGCTGTGTTTTGTGCATTCCTTTAACTTTTCCAGCTACTAGAGACTGCCTGCATTCCTTGGGTAGTGACCTCTTCCTCCATCTTCAAAAACAGCAGTATAGCACCTTCAGATCTCTTTCTCTAACCACATCCTTACTTCGGTCATCCTTACCGCTGTCACTACATCTTCTTTCTAACTCTGACCTTCCCGCCTCCTCTTATAAAGATCCTCAGGATTACATTGAGCACAGCCAGATGATCCACAATCCTTAATTATACTTGCAAAGTCCCCACGGAAGGCAACATATTTACAGGTTCTGGGGATTAGGACATGAACATCTTTAGTGTCATTATTCTACCATAAAATGCTACCTAATTTTTTCAGTTCTTTGGCTTTGAATAATATGTAGAAACTCAAGACTCCATAATTTTACCAACAAATCCTGCCTCATCACCATCACCTTCCAGAAGAAACTAAAACTTGATGCAAGAACCCAGGGCAGGTGTCACTGAATGTCACTCTTGTTCCTGACTATTCAAAGTCCTGATACATTTTGTCCAATATTGTCCTTGACATTTTCACCATTAGAAAGAAAAATTGGGGTTAATCCTTCTCAAATTTGAGTATTCAAATTTGTATTTCAACAAAAGTCACTGAGTTCTGAACCCCTTTTATATTGCCAGAAACACATTTTTACTTTATACTTCAAAAGAGATGGCCAAGGGTTTCCATGACCAATGCAGATGACCCAACCTGCATTGCTCACTTGTACAGAGCTATCTTCTTAACCAGTCAGAGGAGATCCTGTCTACCTGGTCCTGTTAATAGTTGTGTCTCAGAAATCAAACCTTCAGACTTTCTATTTGACGATGCAGATGTGGAAGCAAGGTTCCTGCACCAAGGATGGAACACTAAGAAATGTTTCCAGTCTATGTAAAAGGAGGAGACTAGATGCAGCATTTGGATCATATGAGAGAGACTGGAAGAGTACCCATGGGGTTAACATTTTATGGTTTCCCGTAAGGCCAGACTGCCTCCCTAAGGGACATTTGAAACAGCTAGGGTGTCTTGATGATGGGCAGGACAGAAGTTAGCTACAGACATTCATGTGGAAGGAGACCAGGGTTGCTAGACTTCAATGCACAGGACACTCTGTACTATGATAAATTGTCTCACCCAAATGCTAACAGCACCCTTGTTGAAAAGATGGCCCCAAATCTCCTCATCCACACTTACTTCAATCACCTCTGCTCCTCATTCCCTCAAAGACCCATTGTTTTCAGCACAAAAGGATATGTGAGCCACAGTTTTTGTGCTCCAGTAGAAACAGGTAATACCTCAAACAATACTATATTTTAGCTTATGCGAAAACACGACTAGTTTGTAAAGACTGGCACTTGTCCACAAGGCTGGATTAAAACCAAGAGAAGCCCTAAATTCTAAAAACTCAAGAGAGTCTAACCTAGGTAAGAAAGTTCAGATTTTTCATCTGGTGACTACTACACTTTTAAAAAATAAATAACAAATTATTTAAATGTTATGTTCTTCATTTCTTGTTTTCTATTGCTGCTCATTGGATGAACATTTTATTTTATTTATTTTTTCTTTATTGATTTTTAGAGAGGGGGGGAATGGAGATGGAGAGAGAGAGAGATAGATACATTAATGAGAGAGAATGTTGATTGGTCGCCTCCTGCATGTCCCCCCACTGGGGATGTGGCCCACAACCTGGGCATGTCCCCTGACCAGAAATCAAACTGGCGACCTCTTGGTGCATGGGTCGATGCTCAACCAGTGAGCCACACTGGCTGGGCTGGATGAACATTTTAAAAACTCTTCATTTAAAAAACTCTTCATTTTAAATTTACTTATGGTCCGGCCAGTGTGGTTCAGTGGTTGAGCGTCAACCCATGCACCAAGAGGTCGCCGGTTCGATTCCCAGTCAGGACATATGCCCAGGTTGGAGGCCAAATCCCCAGTTGGGGGGGGGCATGCAGGAGGTGGCCAATTGATGTTCTTTCTCATTGATGTTTCTATCTCTCTCTCCCTCTCATTTCCTCTCTCTCTAAAATCAACAAAGAAAAAAATTTTTTTTTTATTAATAAATTTACTTATGAAGTAGGTTGTTGATGGTTCAAAGTGATGGGAAAACAAGCTACTTGCTGCGTCCTGGCTCTCTTACTGAACTCCCTCCGGTCTGGCTCCATTACTTACGAGCTAGATGACTTTGGGTAAGGTCCTTAATCTTTGTTTGTCTGTAAATAGGAATTTAATCGGCCTGACAACGGTCTGTAAGGATTAGATAAAAAATGTATGTGCCTAGTATGTAAAAAGTGCTCAGTATATTTTAGCTATTAATGTCACTGTACCTCCTTCCATGCCTGCCATTCCTCAATTTTCAAACACATTTGAATGACTACAGTGTGCTAGTATCTGTGCTGGATGGAATCTGAAGAAGAGAGGTGACAGCCCTGACCTCGGTTCACGCTCTAAAAGAGAAATAAGTCTGTAAATAAGCAAATGCAACAGCGCCATCAGTTACTCAATTGAAAAGGAAAAAGCTACATGGGGGGGGGGGTGTTTGGGGGAGGGGAGCAAGATGGTTAATTCTGAAGGCTCAGAAATGTCTATGAAATTTCTTTAAAAACACTGTTGTCGCTGACTTAAGAGAATTTCCATCTAGTTCAAAAGCAACAGCCCTTATCCACATGTGTAGTGCATAGTACATGTAATTGTTTCAGGGGCTGTTGGCAAATACTTCTTGAAAGACCACATGGCCTGTGAATTCTGAACCCTTCTTAGTAAAAACACATCCAGATAAGAAAACAAGTTGGCCAACAGCAATTAGACCGCTGATTGTATCTGTGCATTCTTATTTCAGAAATGTTCAAGTATGGAAATAGAATGTGTGTGGAATCGACAGGAATGTGCTATGTATCTGTGGGGCATGCATATCTGGGAGTGCAGGCTCTTAGCACTGAATACCTAGGAACTGGTTTGCCCTCCTGTCTCACGTTGTCTACTTCCCATTCCAAATCTATCCTGTATAGTGCCTTTTCCACTTTCTCGCGTTTCCACTCAAAAATTATTGATGGCTTCCTCCATTCCTACAAAATCAAATTCAAACCAGCTGTTAACCTTCTCTTTTACTCTCCTACCTCTCAACCCTCAACCATCCATGCTTCCCCTCCCCGCACCCCCCACCTTTCAACTACACTCCGCCTTTCAATTTTTTGGTTTTTTTTAAATAATTGTATCTGAAATTTATTAATTTTTTGTTACAGATGTTTCTCCCTTTTCCCCCCTAGACACCCTCCTTCGGACCCTGCCCCCCCAACCCCCCATAGGATTGTTAATCTTTGTCCATTGGTTATGCATATATGTATGTAAGTTCTTTGGTTTATCTCATCCTTCCCCCCCACCTCCTTCTCTGAGGTTTGTCAGTCTGAACTGCACTCTTTTCTATGTCTCTGGATCTGTTTTGTTCATCAGTTTATTTTGTTCATTATATTCCACAAATAAGTGAAACCCTGTGGTATTTGTCTTTCTCTGGCTGGCTTATTTCGCTTAGCATTAATACTTTCCAGGTCCCTTCATGTCATCTCAAAGGATAAGAGATCTTTCTTTCTTACAGCTGAATAGTATTCCATTGTGTATATATATACCACAGCTTTTTTATCCACTCATCTATTGATGGATACTTGGACTATTTCTAGATCTTAGCAACTGTAAATAGTGCTGAGATGTAAATTGAAATGACTATGAGGTATCATCTCACACCTGCCAGAATGGCCGCCATCAACAAATCATCAAACAAGTGCTGGCGAGGGTGTGGAGAAAAGGAGACTCCAGTACACTGCTGGAGGGAATGCAGACTGGTGCAGCCACTATGGGAAACAATATGGTGTTTCCTCAAAAAGTTAAAAATTGAACTGCCATTTGACCCAGTGATCCCACTTCTAGAAATATATCCTAAGAAGCCTGAAACACCAATCAGAAAGAATATATGTACTGCTGTGTTCATAGCAGTGCCTTTCAGTTTTAACCTACAGAAATCTTTTCAAGACTTTTACCCCTTCTTCAGAATAGCTACTGTATTTTCCAATTCTATTATCTACTGCCATTTATTGCCAATTGATTTTTCAACTGTTTATTTCCCAGCCAGAAGTATAAGCTTTAAAAAAAAAAATCACTTTTACGAGACTACATTTATGATAGTCCTGAACTTGTATAACCAAACTAATGTACTCTTTGGTTAATAGTTCCAGATGATTGTTTAAGTGTAAAATATTTAATAATTCTTGTTAGGCCCTGGCTGGTTTGGCTCAGCGGTTAAGAGCGTCGGCCCGCAGACCAGACCTGGGTTTGGTTCCCACTAAGGGCATGTACCGCTTTTGCAGTTTGTCCCTGGCCCAAATTGGGGTCATGTGTGTGGCAACCAGTTGATATCTCTCTCTCTCCTGCTCTATCTGAAGATAAATGCAGTCCGGCTGGTGTGGCTCAGTGGTTGATCGATCCATGCACCAAGGGGTCGTTGGTTTGATTTCCAGTCAGGACACATGCCCAGGTTGTGGGCCCAATCCCAGTGGGGGGTATGCAGGAGGCGGCCAATTGATGTTCTCTCTCATTGATGTTTCTATTTCTCTCTCCCTCCCCTTTCCTCTCTAAGAATCAATAAAGGGGAAAAAAATGCAAAGAACATCCTTAGGTGAGGATAAAAATTTTTTTTTTTTTAAATAGTCCTTGTTAGTAACTAACAATGCTTACAAATAAATAATAGCGAGTACCAAAAGATTAACCTATAGGTAAAGTTATGTTTACTGAAAATTTTCACAGCCACTGAGTATTTCATGTTGGTGAGCCTTTACAGTTACCCGTTCAATTTCCATCGAAATGTCTGCCCACATTTGTTTTCCTTCACATCACTGTCCTGTAACCTAGTCATTCTGCACACCAGCAACTCATGTTAAGCTGCAACTTCCCTTTCAATACCTAAGGTCCAACTCTCTTCTACATAACTCAGTCTAGCATGCACAAAATAATCAAATAGATATTTAAAAATTAATTTATTTTTCTACTTAACTTTTAATAAATGAGAAGAAACACAGTAGTCTGTCTCATAAAGAACATTTATAATACATAACAATTCATAAAGCCTCATGATGAGGTAGGAACAGCTTTGGAAAACAATGCACAGTCATAAAACATACAGAAAGTTCGGTAAAAGGTTGCAGCACTGAAGACATTTTATGTGCATCTGTATTTAATGAGATGATAGTTGCATTTAACTGGGCCACATCTGGCCTGAAGGACAGGCTGTGGCAGACACAAAACAACACGACATTGAAGTTTGATAAAGAACCACAGAACACACTGCTATACTTCATTGTGCTGTTTCAAGGCAGAACCATAACGTGGCAATTTTTGTCTTTTTATATATAACCACATATTAATTTTTTGTTACATTCCCTTCAGCATCTTTTTGCCAAAGACACTGGACCATAAAATTTTTGGTTTGAAAGTTTAAACTGAATGACATACAAAAAGCTCTTGTGCCAGTAAAAGTGACTGCTAAATATTCCAGAGCTTAGTGAAAGAAAATAGCACTGCCACACAGAACTGGTAGTGCTACATCAAAACAGTGGTTACAATGTCCACTTCAGATGGTCAAACACTGTATTTGACAGTTTCAGTTTAGAAAACAAGAAACCCCTCCACCTTCCCAAGAGTTTTAACACTGTTTTATGACTTAACTGAAACACTATTAAAATAAATATTTCTATATTGTAGAATTATTATCCACATTTATGTATGTGAACATCTTAAGACAGCAGGTAAGTGACATATCATTCAAATGATATCTGCTTAGAAACAGTAAAAACCTTCAACCCAATACCAGTTAGCCTACTAAATACTTCACATTAGGTTCCATAGGCCTTTTCCCTCAAAACTTTCAAAAGTTCACAATTAACTGAGGCTGTTAACAAGATACAAATGTTAACATAGTCTCCTACCTAGTGTGATTTTCCAAAGGTGCTCTGGATGGAAATTTTTCCTGTTCAAATGACATACCTTAGTCAGTCACACATTGTTTTCTAAAATGTTAAAAATACGTAGAGCAAGTTCTTTGACCTTTATATTTCTTGTAGGTTCTAGTCCATACTTTTATAATGCATATGCCCTTCAAAAACAACTAAACATTCATATAAGTAAAAGGTGACAATGAAGATTTAAATCTCTCATCACTAAAGCTGCATTTGGCTTGGAAAAATTTCTGAGTTGGTTTTAATTCCGGTACATGCAGCACCTCCTTCTCACTAAACAGAGACAGTAGACAAGTTGCTAAACATATTCTAAATACACTAATCTTGCTCAAATATAAAAGAGCCAGCAGGAGAGATGCACCTCCTAAAACTGATGCAGTGTTATAAAACAGCATATTTAAATATTGGGTTTAAATCTCCTAATAATTCAGCGTATTCCCTTCATTTTCTTTCAGGAAGGAAGAAGCTATTTTGGGGGGGGGGGGAGCCTATGTCCCACAATATTTAAATATAAAAGCATTTTTAAAAGATAATGCTAATAAAGCTAAAAAATGGGTTAGAAAGTGCATTCTGTAAAGAAATAAATAATTCTCTGCTAAAACTCAAAAGGTGAGTCAGTGCCCACTGATTTTGCTATTATGACAAAGTCCTTTGAAAAAAGAGAATCCTCCTATGGTACCACTTTGTTACATATAAGCTACTTAAAAATGATGAAAAGTGAAATAACTGAAATCTAGAAGTTGTTACCTTCAAAGCACTTTTGAAAAAAACAAAAACAAAAAAACCCCTTGTCCAAAGCTTAAACATCATTTGAAAAAAAAAAGACCAAATAGAGCATTTGTAAAAAAAAAAAAAAAATTATTAAATGTAATATATTTTATCAGTTATCCTATTGTTATCATTACTGAAATGTTTCTATAACAAACTGTTTTGAGATCTTAATGTTTTGTAGTTTAAAGTGTTAAATCAGGAATGTACAGGATACAGTACAATTTGAAGCTTTCTCTTATTCATCCATACAATGAAATCCCCCAATTTCATTGTTTAAAAAAATTGTCTGCAATATTCAAAGTAACTACCAGTTTAGGAATTGAATTCCACAATATTAAGTAAGAGTATTAAAATATCAAGATGTATTGCAAATTGGCAGGTTATGGTTTTGGCCCATTATAGTAAATGTGAACTTACAAACTGTGTTCCTAAAATTACCTCATTCTAATTGGAAAAATCGGCTGTTCTTAAATAGGCCCATTGCCAGCAATAGGCTTATGCTAAAAAAACAACAACAACACACCATCTACCACAGAAGATCATTCCTTTAAAAAGTTAACTGTCACAGGCCAGCGCTTTCATCTTAAGACCCATTAAACAATGAATTATTTCAAATCCCAAAAGGTCGCCATCTCAAAAGTAGTCAGCTATAAAAGTCACTGAAGTAGTCAGGATACCTTGTTTCTAGAAAAATAGAGCTATACATGATAACTGATATTAATATTCCTCCTTTTGAGGTCGAAAATCTACAGTTTCTTCACAAAGCATAATCCCTCTCATCAAGAAAAATATAACTTAAATACCCTTAAATAACATTTGTATATGGATTTGAAATCCACAGCAACAATAAAATAGCCAAGAACAATTTCCTGTGTGGGTATTGTAGCCTCACTAAACAAGCCGCTACTAGATAGCAGTATCAAGACAGGATAACTTATAGAATCTTAATTATTAATTTTGCCCTAACTTATTTTGCTTTTTAAGAATTTAATACCCAAACTCCATTAACTTTCAGATTTCGTTCTCCTCCCAAGTCAGTGGCTCTTGGCAAAACACAAGCATTGCTGGTGGTGTTTGAAAAGCTGCATTTGAACCCATTCATGATTGGTCACGACGAAATGACTTTAACACTGGAAAGTTTTTTTAAACACCCACAGTTTAAAAGATTCCATTAGTAAGCTTGCATTTAACATGTAATTATTAGATTGAGTTTAATGTCCTTAAAAACATTTACTGTATATATGTGCTTCTGATGCCAATCTTTCAAAGCAAGTAATGCTGGTGAACATGTTCGTGTTTTAGACTAACTTTGGTAAGAGAAAACACGTTCAAACCCTCAGAATAATTTAGAAATGTAGTCTCAATGTTAATTTACAATAATCTAAATATTTAATTTGGTAAACTTCTTTCCCTGCTTTTACTCCCCATATGCCCTAGTATGTGTAAACTATAGTTCAATTTGTTAATTATATCTCACTGTTTATTATATTAGATTAATACTCAGCAATATAGAATATACAGAAGAACTGATCTTTAGTATTATAAATACCCCGTGTGGAAAAAAAGAAACCTTTCTTAATTACACCCATCAGTCACTCTTAAAATATGTTGCTACTATGCTATGTAATTATCTTAAAGAGCAAGTAAATATTACCTAAGTATCAAAGGAAAAAAGTTGTTGGTGAGTTTTAAAGTTCTAGCAATTATAATTCTAATAAACAAAATATAACACCGGGGGAAAAGAAAAGCAGAGGAATTCCAGTAACAATTTTAATTTATTTATCCCCCTAATTAATTTTTCACCATGGAAAAACTGGAAATCAAATGTCATTATGTTATATAAGGTTTATACTACTTTAAACAAAAATGTAACATAGTGTTAAAACTGGCTTTCCAAAATTGTTACAGCATAGCTGTACTCTGCACTAAGAATCACAAAGTTGTAATCTAGAACTCTGTCAAGCAGTCCCATTATGTTCTTACAAAAATAGAATTAAACTGTGTGACCAGACAAGGACTTCAATTACACTACTTGGCAAACTTAGAATTTCAATGGAGTCTTTTTCCTCTTGTAGTTTAAAGCAAAAGTCAAATATCACATCTTTTTCAAGACTCACAAAGATGATTCAGGTTGTTTGTTTGGCACCTTTTTAATTTCTATCACAACAGCAGGCATGTTTTCAACTTTAGTCCTCTTGGGCTTCTCTAGATTGTCACTAAGTTCTAAACAAGAAATGCTAACTGTTGGGGCTTTTTCTGTATCCTTTCCAAAATGGGTTTGTGGCCGAGACCCACAACATTGCTTCAAAGCACACTGCGTTCTGCAGGCAAGTGCACATGGGGCTACACTTGATTTAGAGTCTACACTAGCAAATTCAGGCTGAATGGTAGTAGCGTGAATTCCGTGATTATGAAAAACGTCTTTGATGATTTTAGCCACCTGCATGTATGATGTCGGATCTTCGCATCTTATGTGAGCAGTGGCAATGATTCTGCTTCCAGCAAGTTGCCAAATGTGTAATTCATGAACTTCCTCAACTCCTTCGACATTTCGAAGTTCTTTTATCAAATTTCTGATATCAACTTGTTTAGGAACAGTTTGTAGAAGAATAAGGGCAGATTCCTTAAGTAATGGACAAGTTGTGTAAATAAGTATACAAACCATTACAACACAAAGAGTTGGATCTAAATATAGCACCCAGCAAGGACTAGCCTCATAAACTGTTTCATAAGTACTATTAATTACTTCTACAAATGCTGTGCAGGGGTCAGGTATACATGGGTTCACACAGAACCTCTTCCCTTCAGGACAACCTTGCCAAGAAAAGTAAAAGACCAAGGCATTTACTACTACAATCACTGAACCCAAAGCATCTCCAAAGACATGCAGAAAAACTCCACGCATGTTAAGTTGTCCGGCCTTATCATCTTCTGCATTGTCAGTTTCTCGGATAACATTCCCATTCACTTGTAATTCCGTTGCATCACTTCTGGACTTTTCTGGATCTACAAAGAAATACAAATTCTGCATCAAATACACTTTAAGTGTTTATACAAACATCCTTGTCTAATTAATTCCATTTAAGTAAGGAGGTGAAAAATTTTCATAAAACATTATTTTGAAAACGTGCTGGGGGCGATTTACTATAGACATACTGAGACCAAGCCAGTATATAATGGCCAGGGCTAAATAAACTCATTAGGATGATAGTTTCTGCCCTGGCCGGTTTGACTCAGCGGTTGGAGCATTGGCCTGCGGACCAGAGAGTCCTGGGTTCGGTTCCCACTTCCCACTTGGGGCACATACCAAAAAAAAAAAGAAAGAAAGATGATAATTTCCCCATTCTCCTAACCACCCTACCTCCCCACTCTAAAAAAACTTCATTTTCTCTGGAGGTGGGATCCTGCGAATATTATGCTATACTTTTTGGCATATACCAAAAAGGAAACAAAACTGAATGCTAAAGGTCCAAATTATATGCAACTGTGGATAAGTCTAATACAAAGGCTTGATCTGACTTAGAGCTCATCACCTTTTTGTCTTTAAGGTGTTAAGGTTAACTCTTAAACGTTTATTATGAATATAAATGATAAGGGTTTCTTGGTAGAGAGGATTTAGAAACTGACAAATCAACATAGAGTAACCTCAGTAAAAATTGCAACTAAATGATCACTATGTGCCCTGCTTTTTTTAGACTAGTTTCAAAGTGTACATACACCAGTTGACTTGTTATTTCTATACATTATGAAAGAATCCTCCCTGCCCCCCCGATCTGTTGAATTAACAGATCCATCACCTCACAATTTATCATTGTTCTTGTTTATTTTGGTGAGAACATTTAAGTTCTACTCTCATAGCAAATTTCAATTATACAATACAGTGTTGTCAACTACAGTCACCATGTGTTATACAGCTTCTCAGACCTTATTATCTTATAGCTAAAAGTCTGTACCTTTTTACCAACCTCTCCCTGTTTCCTCCATGCCTTACAATTCTTAAACCAAATGTACTAACCTGTAAAACAAACAAACAAACAAACAAACAAAACCCATAACAGAGCAGCTTAATTTTGTTTGGAATAACACCTTGTAGAACGGGAGTGAGGATATTCAATACACAACCTTTTCAATATACAACCTGAACTTCATTCACCAAATATCCTGCATCCTAAAAACAAGGAAAACGGTCTATGTAGTATCACACAATAAGGTAAATAAATATAAGTGGAGAAAAATGGGAAGGAAATACAAATTGTTAACATCATTGAGCTTGGGTAGTAGGGCATTCATTGGTTGACTCTTTTTTCCGTCTCCTTTCTTTCAACATTTATTTTTCCAAATTTCCTTCAAAAGTACTTATGTTTAGAATGTACAGCATCCATTAAAAACATAAGATTAATAAATTACCATCACTCTTATTTTAGTGTGATTGAAAAGTCCTAACTGAAATGTTAAACATCCCTAAACAGGTCCTAAGTCTAGGATTTTCAGGATTCGGGTTTAGATTTTAGACAATTAACTGAAACCGACACTGCTGTTCATAAAAGAAACCTTTTTGAGCTCAGGAAAGTCAATGGCTAGATAGCCCTGAATATAATATTAAGCAACTTGTTCAAAGGACGTAATAATCACCTGGATTTCAAACAGCCAAAAACTAAGAACGAATTGCTGATTCTCTCCATTTCCCAACAGGGCCAAGAAATTGAATTAGGAAGCATTTTTGATCTTTAAAATACCCAAATCAGACAGTCTCTTGAAAAGACAGCCTGTTAGGTCAGCCAAGTGCGGTAGTGCACGCCAGAGGGCTGTCACCTCCCGACCCTTTTCCCACTCCCAGCAGCACAGTCCCCAGCTACACCTCCAGACCCGCTCCCTGGCTGCCAACACCTAGGCTGAAAGGGGTCCTATTTGCTCGCCTTCCCCGGAGGAGGCGGGACCTGGAGGGAGCGGGAAGGCGGCGGCGCAGCGCAGACCGACTCCGGCACCAGGGGGCGTGCGGGCCATCCCGCCCGGGGCCCCGCTAAGGTCTGGGCTCCCCAAACCCAACCACCTGAGGCGGGGACTCTCTCCTCACCTGTCCCGTCCAGTTTCAGCCCGTTGGAGTTGCTATTACTGGTCACTAGGGTGTTGGTCTCCTCCTGATCAGATCTCTGGTCAGCCGATTTCATGTTGTCGCTGTCCCCGGGGCGGTTACTCTTGCCGCGGACCCCCTTGGGGAGGCTGTGGCTGTGGCTGGAGTTCTTGCCGAACCCGCTGTGATGGTGGAAGAGGCAGAGCCCCAGCACGTTGACCAGCAGCCCCGCCACGCCAACCCCGAGGATCACCAGCGGCTGCTGCATCTCCTGCGGCTCGATGAAGCGCTCGATGGCCTCCAGCAGGATGGCGAAGCAGAGGCCGGTCAGGAAGATGGCGTTCACCAGAGCCCCCATCACTTCGGCCCGGATCCAGCCGAACGTGTTCTTTTGGGTGGCATGGGTCCGCTGGGCGAAGCGCTCGGCCACCAGGGCCACCACTAGCGCCAGCACGTCCGACAGCATGTGGAAGGAGTCAGAGAGCATCGCCAGCGACGAGGTCACCCGGCTAATCACCACCTCCAGCACCATGAACATGAAGGTCAGTAACAGCATGCACAGAAGCCGGACCCGGTTCCGACGCCAGCACCCCATGGCTGCGGCTCAGGGGCCCGCCGAGCGCGGCCCGGACACTTGGGGGGTGGCGGCTGCGAGGCGCCGAGGGTCGGTCTGCGACCCGGTGACGGAAGGAGGACGGCGTCGGGCTCCCACCGCCCGAGCCGGGCCACTAGGGAGACCGCTGAGGAGCCTCGGGGGTAGGAAGGGGGTGAGCCCCGGCTGAGCCGCCAAGCCTCCGCGCCTGTGGGCGTCCCCGGCAGGCTGCCGCGCGTAGCTCCTCAGGCGTCCGTCCTCGGAGCCGAGGCGGAGGCCCGGCTCAGCCCCAGCAGCCCCACACCCGCAGCGGGGCGGCGGAAGCGGCGACGGCGTTGGGAGCTGGGGTTCCCGGAGCCCGGGACCAAGAGCCGGACCAGAAGCGAGAGCTGGCTGGCGGGCGGCGGCGGCGGGGGCGGGGGCGGGGGAAGGCTCCGAGCATCTGCAGGCTTTCCGCACAGGTCTTCCCTCCGCAGGTCACCACCGCTGGGGCTCGGATCGAGGAGTCGACGCCGAGGAAGCTAAAAAGGCGGCAGCCACAGCAGCTGCACTCGGCCCGGTGTCGGGCGCCTTCTTCTCCCCCCAGCCTTTGCAGACGGTTTACAAAAAAACTTTGCTTTGCACTCGGAACCCCCGTTTTCACACGGACCGGAGTGTGACAAGGCTTCGACGCCCCGCCCACCAGGCCCGGCACGCTTACCGATTGGCTAGGAACCCCTCACGACAGCCGCCACGTCCCGCCCATCCACGCTCACTATTGGATGGAGTCTCGGCGGGGCGGGAGGGGGTGGTGTCGCGGCTCCGACAGATGTGGGCGGAGCCTTTCCCTCTAGGAGCCGGGCGTGGGCTGGGGGGCCGCGGCCGGGTGCAGCAGCGGGCGTCGTGGGGGAGGGTAGGGGGCGCGGGGCGCGGGCCGCGTGCAGCGGGGGGGAGGGGCAGGCGGGTTCCCGGTATTGGGCGAGGCCTCTGCTCCAGCGCTGCGGGTCCCCGCAGCCTACCGCACACCTGCGGAGGCCCGGTAGCAAACAGACTTTGATCCTGGGAGCCGAGTCCACGTGGGGCGCGCCGCGCGGCCGCTGTGTGACAGACGGCTGCCAGGGAGGGAGCCCCCTGTGCGCCGGTCCCTAGTGTGCGCCTTCCTGTCAGGAGAACCTACATTAGGCGACAGACTCATAAACAAGTGCTGCACGTAACTTGTGACTGCCCAACACCGAGCTGAGCAGTTAGTACTTCAGGGCGGTCCTGCGACCGAATCTTTGTCAACGTTTCAGTCAAGTAAATCACCCCTATCACCACCATCCCTAGGAGAGCTTGTGAAAGATCAGATTATTTCTGTTACTGACTATCTACGGACAATTTAGGGTAGGGACTTAAAAGCAGGAGAAACCTGGCTTCTGGTCCTTTCCCGCTAGCTAGCTGTGTGAATTTGGGCAAGTTAACTAATCTCTCTAGACTCGCTTCTTCGTCTGTAAAGGCTTGGACAAGAGGAATTCCTGAAATTCCTTCTGACTCTAAAATTCTAAGGCTCTGTGATTTAACAAACATTTTATTTATGGACTACAAACAGCGGAACCCTGTGTGGGTTGCTATGGGGAGGGGGGACAGTAAGAATACAGAAGAATGAGCTGCTGTCCAGGTGGGGGTAAAATGTAAACATCCAGAATTTTTTAAATTACCATGAAATACTCTTAGTAAATTATGCTAACATTAATTTAGATTAGATATATATGCGCCATGCTCTGAGTGGAGATTGGTTAACCTGGAAAGGAACGCTTCCTGATCCTGACTGGGGGGAGGGGTGGCTGGAATCAGAGTGGCCTGAGCTGGACCCCCAAAGGCCTGACACTCCTCTGAACCGCAGGAAGGACCCCCAACTGCTCTGGATTTCACAAGATGCAGTGCTACTGCCCCAGGAGCGGTCTATAAGCATGTTTAAAGCTATGTTATTTTGAACTTTTTTATATTTATATTTCTGCAATTTTTTTTTTTTTTCACTTGCATGTGGTGTTTCTCCACCCAGACTGGAGAGCTGGAGTCCCATCTTCTACTTCCGTCCTGCTGGAATAGAAAAGAATGGAGGAGAGTTTCCAAAACATTATCAGGAAAGAATAGCTAAAATTGGCTGATTAATTGGGTAGTGGAAGGGTAGACGCTAAGGAGGAGAATTTAACAAAGATAGTTAACAATGTTTTTAATCTGACAAGGAAAATACTGCCTTAAAACAGCTGAGGATCTTGGAGAAGGAAAAGGCAGCAAGAAGTTGATTTTAAGGGAAACTAGCCCTCCTTACTGAGCCTGTTTTTAATGTACTGAATTTGAAGTCAACCTTTCAACCAGCCCTCCTATACAGAAATTGGTGATCCACTTATGGTCAAGATATTTTATGGAAATAGCCAGAAGGCAGTTGGAAGACCATTTTTGCCTCCTATTGGGAGCTGCTGTGTCTCTTTACTTAAAAAAAAAAAAAAAAAAAAAAAAGATTCCTCAAAATGTGAGAATTTAATGCCCAAAGAGAAACCAATAGAGAAACGTAGAATGCCAGGATACTCAGCAAACAGGGTAGCTATCACTTCAATAACTAAGCAGCCTGAATTGGGAGATGTTTGGCCCGTATAAAAATAGCTCTTAGCCCTGGCCAGTGTGGCTCAGTTGGATGGAGCCGCGACACCACCGCTGGGGCTCGGATCAAGGAGTCGACGCCGAGGAAGCTAAAAAGGCGGCAAAAGGTGCACCAAAAGGTGGCGTGTGGGAAGCAACCCATCTATGTCCCTCACATCCCTCCCTCTCTCACACATCAATATTTCTCTCTTCCTTCCTCTCTCTAAAATAAAAACAAACACAAAAAAACAGGCTCTTAGGTTCAATTCAACTCAACAATCACTTACGAGAAACTACTTTTTAAAAATTATTAGTTTTTTAACCTTCACCCAAGGATATGTTTTTACTGAGCTTAGAGAGAGAGGAAGTGGGGGAGAGAGAGAGAAAGGGAGAGAAACAGCGATCTGTTGCCTCCTTTACTCACACCCACCAGGGATCAAACCCATGTGTGTCCTGACCAGGAATCGAACCCAAAGCCTTTTGGTGTTCGAGATGATGCTCCAACCAGCTGAGCTACCCAGCCAGGACTATGAGAAACTACTTTGTGCAGGCAATTTTTCTTTTGTAATTAATTACCCAGACAATGTGCTTCATTCTCATAACCAGGGGGATGGATAGTGATGGAAGGTACATTTTCCAGGTTATAAAAAGTTACAGTAGCCCTGGCTAGTGTTGCTCAGTGGTTAGAGCCTCGGGCCTCAGATTGAAGGGTCTCAGGTTTGATTCCCAGTCAAGGGCACATACCTGGGTTGCAGGTTCGATCCCTGGCCCTGGTCAGTTTCGTGCTGGAGGCAACCAATTGAAGTGTCTCTCTCTCTCATCAATGTTTTTCTCTCTCTCCCTCCCTTCCAATCTATCTATAAAGATAAAAAGTTACAGTTATATGATTCATAAAGAGTAATATCACTCTAGCAAAACATTCAGTCAAGTAAAATTTTCTCCCCCCTAGCATTATGTAAAAAAATATATTTTGGTAGCTTGATTCAAATTTGTCCTTTTTCAGTCATTTGTCCTAGCACAGTGTTAACACAGGCAAGGAATGGATTACAATGAAGGGAAAACATACTGTCATCCACTAGCACCCCTGGAGATTGTGGCCCCAGTTTGAGTAAAATGGCTTGCCTTTTTCTTCCTTATTCCTGAGAACTCTCCTGATAATTTGCTTACTATCCAAACTGACGAAACTCAGCATACTTTAAAGATGAGAGAATAATGCTCCTTTTGGAAAAAGACTGCCAATTTGAGAGAAAGTCAAATGTTTAACACAAACTCTGCAATCTCAGAACCCTCTAAGTAGGACCTCTCCCAGCTCTCTCTGCCAGGCTCCTCCAACCTGGAGCTTCCAGGCTCGAGCAAGCCTGCAGACCACCAATCCAAAATGTCAGTTTAAGAGGATTATTGTTTAAAAAGCTGCTGAACACAGATACACCTCTGAATCTTGGTTATCAAAAATTAGGAGTGTATGAATCTGTACCATGGAAAGACACGAAAGAAAACCATGTGAAAACCAGATTGCATTTGACTTTGACAGTAAATCACTTCTACTGTTCCATTTTAAAGCAAAAAAGACGGAGAAATCAGATCTGTTTTGTTTTGGAATGTCCTTGAAAAATTATTGCAAATATAAACTAAAAATTCTAGCAACAACATGAGGGCCAAGGTTTGAATGTTAGCTGCTTCCTGAGGGAATGGGCAGTAGAACAAAGAATAAACAAGTAACAATGCAGTAATAAAACCCAGAAACATTACAAAAGGGCTCAGAGGTATAAGGGGAATCATATAAAAGGGTCAGAGCAGGAAACCCTAGGAGGAAGCAAAGGGGAAACAGAATGTATACTGAGAGGCCCGGGACAATCACTGGGCTTTTGTTTTTGATGGTTAAGCTAAAGAATTGCAGGTGAGAGTGGATTGCAAAAGAAAACTCATTTTTCTCTGAGACTGCAAATGGGATCTAAGTTCTCCAAGTCATCTAGCAAAAAAGGCACTGACACCTATACAGAAAGGCTCAATAACAGCATTGGTGGATTTCTTGGGTACAGCGTAACATAATACTAGAAATTGTTGACGGCTCAGGCAGTCAGTTGTAAGGGTTAGACTGGATGCCCATACCTCAGCCCTTCTACTCTAGGGGCTGGAGATTGTTATTAATGAACAAAGTACAGAAGCTATAAAAAATAAAATTTAATTTTCAAGCATGTTTCTATGACTCTATCCATTATATGTATATAAAGATGATGCTGACCAGTTGATCATTTTGAAGGTATCACACACCTAATGAGTTTTAGAAAGTTCAGGAAACTGGTCCTGTGTGACTTTGGACAAGTTATTAAATCTCCCTAGGCCTCACTTTCCATATCTTTTCAGTGAGGAGTATAAGAGATGGTGTCCTAACTGGAGTTGCGATGTGAGTCAAGGAGAGGATGCTGCCTGGGGGATGCTCGCAGGTGGGCCTTTCAGGCAACCTGTACTTGGCGTCAAACTGAATCCAGTGCTGAGTTTTCAACTTGCAAATTCAAAAACTGCATGTTTCATCGTTTCACCTGGGAAGACTTGATTCACGTGGATTCAAAATGGACTAA